TATATCAAAACGTTCTCAATACTGATATTGATATCTTTTTCAATGTATAATAATGAACAGTCATTGAATTTTTCTTGCAGCATACTTACTAGTACCTACGTAGCCATGTCTTAACTTTGAGCATTGCAGAAAAGCTTCGTTCACATCTAGCCGAGCTGATTGGTATTGTTATTACTTGTATTGGTTTGGGTAAACACACTTTTAGAAATATTCTGTTAAGGGGCTTCACTACCAAGTCTTTTTTTTGTCAAAAACTACTGTTTCTAATTCCAACGATACGTGTTGACAATTATCACGATTTTCATTCTGAAAAGATATTCTGATTGTCCGTAATATATACAAGGGAACGATCGAGCCACATTTTTAATTTTTGTAATTTAAATTGCAATAAAAATTGTAAAAAAATCAAAAAAAAATACAGAATTTCCAACTTAAATATTTAATTAACTAAATACAATTTTAAAAATGTGCCTTGATCAATCCCTCGTACATGTTGTGGAAAATAAGAATATTTTGTCAGAATGAAAATCGAGGTAATCGTTGCGACGTACTGTTGGAATTAGAATCGTATGTTTAAGTGAAAAATAACTATATAATAAGCATTTTTTCATGATCACAATATTATTATATATTGACATGTGTGTGCGAGTGCGTGCGAGAGCCCTCCGCACCACTACAATTGACCCGCATTGACACACTAATAATCATTTACGACTAACACATAGATCTCGGGTGGCGACGACGAGATTAGAAATTGCCTAAATGATTCTCCTTAAATCAATGCCATTGCGAGGCCCCTTAACTATAAAGTTCCAAGATTTTGTCATTTGTTGTAAAACAATTATTAAGTAGGTACCTATTTTAATTAACATTAAATACTTTGAAAAATGTTTAATAATTTTGGGAGGCTTTCAATTTTTTTAGGGGGGATTTGAGGAAGCCCCTCAAATCTTGGCCTATGATCATTTGTTTTAAACATTTGTTCATTGCCTAAAACAGTGTAAAATCCAAGTGAATATTTTGTTTTTATTTTGGTTTATCATTAGGTAATTAATAATAATAACAATAATGAATAAATATCCCTACTTCAGAAAAAAGGTTAAGTATTGTCTAAATGATTATATCTATTGCCATCCTTCGTTTTAATTTTATTAAATAAATAACCAAATTTAAAATGTTTTTACTCAATAGTTAATGTATATATAACATAATGTCCACATAAAACCTCCATTCAGAAAATGTTTAAGATACATTTCAAATAATTTTAAGATTTTAAACGAGTAATAAATAAACATTGATACATATATTATACTAGTACACAGCTTATTGGCATGTAAGTAAATTAAATATAAAGTTTTAAAATTGTTTTATTTCTTCATTAAAATATCAAATTTTGTCAATATTTGAACTGAAAATGCTTAAAAAAAACGTTTCTATGTATCTTTATTATTTTCAACTGCTATTAATTATAATAACAACTTACGAGGAACCTTGTATTACATTTTCAAGTTTTTTTACTTAACGAAAACAATTTTATTGACATTTATAAAAAAAAAATTGAAAATGTCTATAATCAGCTCAAAACGAGTCAAAATATTTTGAAAATGTCATCTTGCATAGTAAATTATAAAATAATAATTTATGACAATTTCAAGTATTCATTATGAAGATACAACAAAATAGGAAAATTGTTCTATAAGAATTCGTTAGTGTAGGCCGTTTAGGGTAAATATCACATGTCGAAAAAATTTGAACTTCGAACACTCATCAAAAATTTATTTGATTTTCCAATAAACTTTTTTAGATTCTGAGTGAAACGATGAATGTATTGATTTTACAATGATGTGTGTTTTTTTTAATTTTTAATTTTTTTTTGTCTGTGTACACGATAAGTAGTCGAAATAATGCTTCGATTTTCAACTTCAGTATCTTGTTCGATTGGAAAGTGAATATCGTCGGTGCATTGGGGAGGTCAAAATTTAATTTTCCCAGTAGTTTTCAAAAGCGCCGGGAAAAACAAAATAAAAATTAAGGAAAAACGGGAATTTTTACGCAAAATCGGTTTTCCAAAAAATCGATTTTGGTTTTTGGTGTAACTTTAAAACAAATAACCGTAGATACATGAAATTTTCAGTGGTTGTTTATATTTGCATTTTCTATACACGATAACATTTTCAAAATATGTTGATTTATTTTGAACTGTTTAGGAGCATCTTCAGTTTCCAATTTTATTAGTTTTTTTTTTATGAATATCAATAAAAATGTATTTGTTGAGTAAAAATACTTGAAAATTTAATACAAGGCTCCTACTATATTGTTTCAAAGACAGATGAAAAATATTAAAAATCGTTAGTCACAGTTTTTTTTTTTAAGCATTTAAAGTTCAAAAAATGACAAAATATGGAAAAATCACGAAAATTTGCAAATTATTTCGAGTTAGAAATTCATAAAAATTTTTCTTTTTAAATCTAAGATATGAAAATGTAATACAAGATTCCTTATAAGATTTCCTACATTTATCAAAAAAAAAATTCTATAAGAAAGTCAAATTAAATTTTTATGAGCGTTTGAAATTCAAATTTTTACAACATTGGATATTCACTCGATTTCTCATGTGGCGATTTCCTTATTTTGTTGTAATTCAAAAACGAATTACTATAGATACATGAAAATTTCACTGAATGTTTAAATTAGCATTTCCTATACACCATACAATTTTGAAAATATTTTGACTCTTTTTGAGCTGTTTATGGACATTTACAGCTTTCAATTTTGTTTAGTTTTTTTTGCTATAAATATCAATAAAGTTTTATCTGTTGGGCTAAAAAGTGTAAAAATGTAATACAAGGCTCCCCTGATATATTGTTACAATATCAGTTGAAAAATATTAAAAATACATAGGCACAGTTTTTTTTTATAAGCATTTAAAGATCGCATTTTGACAAAGTTTATCAAAATCTCGAAAATTATCAATCATCGTAATTAATAAATTATAAAATGTTCAGTTTTTATAGCTAAGGATTGAAAATTTAAAAAAAAGATTCTCATAAATAGTTCATACTGTAGCCAAAAAAACTAAAAAATATATGAGCACAGTTATTTTTTACAGACATTTTAAGTTCAAATTTGGGACGAAATTACATATTAAAAAACCTAGCATACCTATTTTAGTTATTTTGTTGTGAGTGTATAATACTATTTGTGTTTACTTGAAACTTCTAAAGTACACTATATTATATATCAATGATAGTATCAGGGTTTGTTATTGATGTATAACGTGTTATAAGTACCTAGTGGATATTGTGATATGATTAATTTGGAATTTATTATAGGTCAATTTTTTTTTTAATACCATAGATATGTATATAATATGTCTTAAACCTAGACTGACATACCGTCTTCGCTCAGAATCGTTTTTCTTATACAATGATATTGTATCATTGAATTCAAATTTAATACCATCCATTATACATTGACCCACTTGTAACCTACTGTACAGCAGAGCGACATCCACTTACTTAATTTTTTTATTTAAGGTAGGTAGAAAAACATATTTTGTGTAATCTTGTATTACATTTTCAAACCATAGGTATAAATAGAACATTTTTTTTATGCAATGTGTATATTAATTTACGTTATTTGACGAATCAAGTTAAAATTTTAACTTGAAACGCTCATAAATAATAAATGTCGATTTAAGTTCAAATTTTTTTTTAAATTTCCATTAACAACAACTGAGGAACATTGTATTAAATTGTCAAGTATTTTGGCCGTGCAAACAATTTTTTATCGACAATAATTTTAAAATAATTAATAAAAATTGAAATTTTCTTATGCTTATAAATAGCTCACAATGATTCCAAATATTTTGAAAATGTTATGATGTATAAAAAAAGTAATATAAACATTCAGTGAAAATTGGGTATATCTACAGTCACAGCGTGTAGAGTTACCTACAGCAAAAAAATAAAATCTATTTCGTCAAAAAACTAGTTTTGTATAAAAATTCCCATTTTTTAAGATTTTTCCCCTGTGACTTTTAATAATCACAAGGAATTTTCGAATAATCTCTCAAAAGCATCAACTGTATTCACTTTCCCAATATTAAAGATACTAAAGTTGAAAATCGAAGCATTATTTCGACCACTGTTGAATATTGTAACTTGTAAGATCAATATTTTATATCAATTATTTCATATAAATTATTTCAACTATTTTGTGTACACAATAAAACTTTCAGAATATATTGGCTTTTTTTAAGATAGGTATGTCGTGTGTATAAGCTCGAGAGAAAATATATTTTAATTAAAAATAAGAACCGTCAGAAAAAATAGATAGTTTACAGTTTACACCGACACAGACATATTATAACCGTGTACTCGACTTGTTTTTTGTAGTACTGTTTTGTTACCAACTGTAGATTAACAATTAAGTGAATAAATTATAACTGAAACTGTGCTAATCATTGTTGAGCATTTATGATTTATAAATGTATGGTATATGGCCTATGGTTAGGAAACTGTCAATAAATTTATATTAATTTAATGGGTACATTTTTTTTGATTTCATTATTGACTAAAATTGTTTAAATTTATTGAAGATTATTAATTCATTAATTCCTTCCTTACCTATGTCGTGTTCTTGCAATGCATAATTTAATATAGTAACTTATTGCCATTTATTTATCAAGAAAAACCATATTTTTTAAAATGAAATTCAATGAATTTAGTTATCATGTAACTTCATGCTCATATTCTAACACAAATATAGACTTTGTAAAAATATATTTTATACTCTTTATAGGCACATGTTTTTATTTAAAATAAATGGTTGGTATTTAATACCAAGGAACAATATTGGTTATAGTTTTGTTTAAAGATAACAAATTGTTTTATACATATGTACATGGTATTTAAGACTTAAGTATATTCAATACCTAAATGTGTATATTTCAATAATTAAAAAGGCTCACTTAAAAATAAAAATTGATATTTTGTTTCTTAAGTTTTTTTGAAAATGTTTAATACATCTTGCATCAAAAAGACAGATTCTTTTATATCTGATTTTGTTTTAAGACCTGAAACAAATATAATAAATTATTCATCAATATTATAGTGAAATAGATAAACCAGATTACATCCGTCACAAATAAACTAAAAAAAATGATATACATAATGAAAGAATTAAGTGAAATATTGCCTTTAAAAGACATCAGAACTATATACCTAATACTATTCGAGTCAATAGTATTGTATGGCATAATCGGATGGGGTGGTGCCTACAACAATGCCCTTCTACAGCTCCAGAAATGCTAAAACACTATACTCAGGGTCGCAAACAAAAAAAATTGGAAATATCAAACCGAAAAACTATTCGAAGACTTTAATGTGCTCAATATAAAACTCTTATACCTAAAAACAATCACCATATATCTGAAAAAACAAAATCAGTTGGATTCTATAAGCCATGGGGTCAACACCAGAAATGCACCTAGTAAATTTTCCTTAGATTGGCCCTCAAAAACTAGTTGCCGAAAAGCTTACAATTTTTTGGGAACACAGATACTTAACTTGATGTCCAATGATATGGTTGATTTACCGCTACCCATATTCAAAAAAAAATTAACTACTGGCTACGATATGAATATGTATGTAAAACTTAAAATTGTATGTAACATTCTAATTTAAAGCTTGTAATATTTAGTGGAATTATTTATGTGATTTATTTATGAAAAACTTCTTATTTGTCTTTTAAAAATGTAACATGTATATTAAAACAATAAGAATTATTTGTAATCTAAGATAACCCATGGGCCTCCACATGAGTTTTTCTCAGTGAGGCCCAGTAATCTTTCGATATTAATATAAAAAAATAAAAATAAAAAAATAGTAAAGACATTATAAAATAATATACCATCAATTAAACAGGTTTATTTATTTTTACAATTTTAACTTTTTCTTTTATTAATTTAAGGTAAAGAAGTTTTAAAATATTATATTGTCTTTATTTGTTCATCTTTGTGTTTGTTGGTGACATTTCTATCAACTATTCATTTTTAAACGGCTACTTATAACTTTAATTTCATACATTTAAGAAAAAAATGTTTTTTTATTAATTGTTATTTGACGTTTCAATGAGTCAAGGTATCTCTCATCACTTCGCTATTTTTATCTATAACGAAAACGCTTATACATAAAACTCTATTCTTTCAGTACTAAATAATTATTATCTATGCACAAAAATGTTTAGAAATATATTTTGATTTAAATTATGAAATTAAAAATAAATGCAAGCAATTGAAAACTAAAGTTGATAGCAGTCTTATAAACAAAAATTAGCATATAAGAATATGGTCAGTAAAAATGGTAGAGCTACATTTATCATAGATTGCACAAAAACAAAATATCAAATGACGACACAAATCAATACTTTTCTAAAATTAAAATGTTGTAAAAAGCCGAATGCCGTTAGTTCTAAAAAATAAAAATAAAATTTCAAATACAAAATTAAATATTGAATTTCTTAATTAATTTAGATATTAGTAAGTAATGTATTTTTTTCAGTTTTGATGCTAATTTTGGTAATTTGTATTTAAAAAAGATTTTTTAACGTTATTTCTTAAATCTAAAATTGAGTATACCAAAGAAATATTAAGCTAATGAATAATATTCAGTTTTTTTAAAAAAAAAGAAAAGTTTTTAACAAATAAAACCAAAAATTTAGTATACCCAATGAGTAATGAACCAATAAATAAATATAAATCAAATTTTTTTGTTGCCATTTTCTATAAATTATGGTATATTATTTAGGGCACTTTTTAGTGCCATACAGTCTGAGTCCTGCTCAAACATTAGCTTTAAGAACCTTACTAATTAATATTGCGTTATTATAAATTCCTTTTCATACTGTGTAAACAAATTTTTTCTTAAGCTATAATAACATAAAGATAAACAATTATTTGAATTTTTCAAAGAAATATTACCTGTTAAAACTACTTTTCCATTTACAAACATTAAAAACACTGCTCGAGGTCTGACCATCCGATAAATTAACGCAGGAAATACTTCAGGCTCAAAGCTAAACACATAAATATATTTTATATTATTGAATTACATTTTTTTATTGGATATTCAAGAAATTTTTTGTGTAAACCGAACGTTTCTTAAAATTGAAATTTAACATCGTTTATAATATTTTAAGTTTTATTCAGAATATTATGAAAAATAATAATCATAAATATACCATATTTAGGACATAATTATTCAAACAAATTTAAAAATTGTAATTTACCTTTAATATATATTAATAGAAGTAAAATACTATATATTTAAGATTAGATTTTTAAATTGTATATTAAGTAAAGTTTACACAAAGACAAAATTTAAATTTAAAGAAAATATTTATAAAAAAATGTAAGCACCTGGTAAATTGTGAGTGAGCAGTATTTAATTCTTCCAACATTATTGGAAAACCAACATCCCATGTGCATACAATATTATGCACTGTATAATCACAAAATTTTACCTAAAAAGTTAATGCAATTAATAAAATATTGATGTAGTATAACAATATAAGATTTACATAATATAAAACTAACGTTGTGTCCAAGTCGTTCTAAAATTTTTGCTACTTTTCGACATCCTAAATTTCCTGTTCGGTCATCCTTAGCACCTTGCATGACCATTTTACCTGATGGAAATAATAGGCTGGTGACATTAGGTTTACGAAGACGCATAATTAGTCCATTAAATCGCAGTGGATTATATTCTGAGTTACTAGTCCACATGACAATTCTTACCAAGTCCAAAGGACATCCCATGTTTGCACCACATACAATGTTTCTGCAATAATACAAAAGTATAACTTAATACAACTTTGAATAGTAAATAATTTGCTCTAACTGTTCAATTATATTCATAAATACAACTCACTGAACTTGAATAGATTGACTAATTTTGTTACACCGAATGAATCGAGGTATATGCATAATAATAGTTTTATGTGGATTTGCATTATCTTCATTGCTTGTTTTTTGTTTTTTTTTTAATGGTTCAAAATTATCATCATCAAGTCCATCAATAAAATGTTTGTTTTCTAACTCGTCTATAACTTCTGGTGTTAAAACTACTTTTTCATCATCTTCTAATTTTAGTGTTAAATCTGGCTCATTCTCACTATACACTGGACCTAGGACCACTTCTTGTTGAACAAAATCATCGGTGACTTTACCAAGTACTTCCTCTTGCACACTGCCTAATGCTTCTTCTTCGCCAGCAATTTGTTCTCCATATTCTTCATACTCATCATCTTTGTCGTAGAGAGATTTACTAAGCATAGTGTGTAAGCTTTGTTCGCCCACATCACTCTGATCAGAATCATAAAATTCTTCGTAATCGCTTAAATCCATTGTTAGTTGTTACAGTTATATTCTGAAAGTAACAAAAAATAATAAGCAAATAAATATTTTGAGAAGAATGATATTATAAAAAAAGGATAAATAATAATAAAAGATAAACATTTAATGAACATTTTTGTAAGATACATTTCTATGGCTTAATACAAACATAGGTTAGTTGCATGATCCTAGGTACTTCACAACATCATAAAATATACTTTGTAATATAGCTATTATTATAGGGTGACAGACTGATTTTATATCATTAAATTCAGTTTTAATATATCCATTAGTTACACACAGCCCGACATCTATAATATACCAATGCGTTACCCGCCTTATTTGGCATGAGTATGTTTATTATTAGAATTTATTCCAAAAATAACTAATTTAAAAATGTAAATATTGTACAAAACCAACATACAAATACAGATAATGTCCTTACCTTCAAATTTGATGATAGATAATTTCACTTTAATATTAAATCTAACCACACACAATTTGTTCTGTAGAACACAAATTTGCTAGGTTGTAAGTTTGTATGTTGTTAGGTTGTAAATTCTCATGTTTTTAATTTTCCATTAAAATCAATAACCAACATCAAGTGTGATCAACAATTCTAAAAAATGATTTATGAATATCAAACATATTAAATGTAGATGTATACAACAAATCAATTAAATCAATTATAATATAGGAATAATATTAAAAATAATAATGAAACAAAAAATAAATAATTAATATTTTAAATAGGTACCTATGATTTTTTCAATTTGCTAATAGGTATGATAATTAAACAAAAAATGGGAACAACCTTGATTTAAGAAAATAATAAATATACATAGTTATAAAGACTGCATTTATAGTATAAATATAAGACAGAAAAATTAACACAAACTGAAAAAACTACAAAAAAATATGATAAAAAAAAATGAAAATGAAGAACAAAAAATTTATAAAATCTAAAACTAAATTTAAAAACGAAGTAAAAAAAAAACAAATGTTTGGATATTTATGTGATGTACCTAATGTAAGGTGACCACGTGACCATTTGCCAAATTTAAACAAAATCCATTTTTGAGCACCATTCCCTGTTCACTGTTGTCCCAACAAGATTTTTGTTACATATTCATTAGAGCCTTGTTTCAATTATTATTGAATTATATATTCCATTTTCTTCGTTTAATTAAATATAATATGTGAAAGAATAACCTATTCTATAAACGAATAAATAACAACATTCTTACAGTTTTACATTGAAACCCAAGTAACGAGTGTTAATTTATTTATAATATAATATTATCAGTCATAAACATGATAAATGTACAGAGAAATTATAACCTATAAGCCAGCACGACTATTACTCTTTCTAATTCCAATAACATACCTTCTCAGGGTGTGATCTCATAATATAAATATAACAAATTTAGGAAAATCTGGTTTTGTAGTGTAGTTAAACCAAGACTGTCAGTCTTATTATTTTATTTTATTAAATTAATATGGTCATCCTAACATAATTTAATGAAATACAATTTTTACCTTTATAAATGCAATTCTTATTATTTACTTTAGTATAGTATATTATTATTATCTTAGTACAAAATAATCGAACTGGGAATTTTGATGGCTTTGAAAATTGTAACGCCAACAATGTAATTTATCTTTTATTCTTGTATAAACCTACAGGTATCTAAACAATAATTATTCTAATTTCTTATATATTTCATTTGCATGGAATAGGTATGGTTCAAATTATAAAAATGACAAGTTACCAAGTCAGTAGGTACCTCCCAATATATGATATAATTTTCAGCTTATAATTATTTACTTTTGTGATTGAGATAATATTATTACAATTAACTACTTTTAAATAAATTTGAAAATAAGTACTTTGTTTTTTATTGGTGCCTTCTTAAATGATACATTTTTTCGTATTTTCTTGATATGATTGATACATTATAAAATGACATATAATTACGTAGGATTTTTAAACAGGTTTGAGTGTGCATTGATCGTTTGCAAAAACCCTATGCGTGTAGGTATGTCCATACTCGATGTACAAACATAAAATATTACATAAAATGAAATTTAAAATTAATATTATAATGTGCCATAGTACATTAGATTGTTTGTAAAATATTTTATACTTTACCTGTAGCAAATCTTGGTTCTTTACGAAAATTCCATACGAAGAGTAGGTAGGTATTTAAAGTAAGGCACTCAAAGGCACGTCCGACATGCAACTATAACCTAAATAATATTATTATATAATTATTTTCATTTTTCACGTTGACTGGCGACGACCGACCGTGATAGACCTTGAACTCGACACGTTCTGCCGGCTATCGTTATCATTTTTATGCATCCCGTAGGGCCCACGACTGATACCGTGGGCCCTTACTCAATGGCCCTAACCGTGGCCCACGACTGATACCGTTATCATGACTACTGATAACTGATAAGCTCGCTAGATTATTGCATATCGTTATCAAATATTGCTAGCGGAACATAGGTGTATAATATGAAATTATACTTATTCCTTAATCCTTATACTATGGCACTCATCATGTCCTAAGCAGAGTATGCGGCGAGTAGTGCGACTGCGATATGCTGAGCAATGAGAATAATATAAAAAAAAAAACCAAAACAGAAAGTGTTTCTTGTCACAGGCGACCCTCGGAACATGTGAAAACGTATATGCAATATGAGCTAAGAAATAAAGATTTATTATGTATTTATGTTGAATTTGAAGTAAGTAAATATTCTTAATTTAAAACTAGTGCTTTGAACATTTTTAAGAATGTATTTTTCACAACAAAAAGAGATAACTTTTAATAGAATAAAATATTTGCATAATAGGTAGGTACGCTACGTATACACGTATTACACGCATATATTATAAAAGTGACAAATTGAACTAAAAAAAAAAAATTAACTCCATAGAAAATTCGCTCGGCACGAATTCCGATCTCGACCTACCTCCAAGGTTGACGCCCAGTCCGATGTCCGAACTCGACTGTTAGTGGCAAACGAATTTTCGGTGTTTTTAGAAAAATTTGAATAACTAGTAGAACTTCACTTATGAAAATCGCCTCTCCTTTTAATAATAACACAATAGGTACGAGCGTTATGCGAAAACGATAACGTTCGAAAATTTTCACCGTCCAAGCGGAAACGTCTGCACGACGTAAAGATGTTTTCACATCAAAAATGAAACGATACCTATGACCACAGAACAATACTATGACCAGCTTTAAATTTTATGCCTGCATAAATCGTACAAATTCTGATTTGTCGATAAATGAAATATAATATTATAGTACGATCGTCGTGGAGGCAATAAACTCGCATGAACGGCGCTTACATTATTTTCTTATCAGTATTTTCGTAAACAGTAAATCCGTCGAGATAGATAAGAATACTTGACAGGTTGGGATTATAAATCCAATTTAAAAATTGTCTAAAAGTTGTTTTCAATTATGTTTTCAGAAGTTTTATATGATGATTGGATATCTAGGAGGCCCTCGAGACTCGCTACCGGTGGAGGAGACAGAGTCGTTGGAATTATAATATAGGTAAGACATGCTTGTTTTAGTCGGACAGAGATGGTCGAAGGCCCGAACGTAACGTTATATTTTGATTGCACTATATTTTAATGATAGGTATCATTGCTCGCGATATTTGAAATGTTTTATTACGAAATGATGATTGACCGAAGATACCTCCAACCGCTGATTGCTGACGGAGTTTTGTCGGAAGTGGGACTCTGTCGCATACATGGACTTCATGCACAAGGCCGTGGCCCGGACCGTGCTCTAGGAGATGCCGGGCTTGTGCCTTGTTCGTCCAAAACAGTTTGACAAGCTGCCGCTCTCGGTGTAAATAGGCAACACATGACTAACCATCCTCATAGAACATCTCATCTGTTTCTGTTGAAATTGAAATGTGAGTAAACTAATGACTTAAGTATTTAATGTAGATAACTAACACAACTCTGATTATGTAAATACTGCAATATAACTATAATGTAACAGACTGTAATGTGCCGGCAGCTTGGTGCCTACTATTGTAGTATAGATAATAGACAAGTGGCTACTAGAACATTAACGTTGCAGGTAGCAGACACTTCTTCTGATGATGTCGTTGTGGTGTTGATAAAATAAGTAGACCGATATAGTATATTGTGAATTTATTAGTTTTACTTTAATAATTTCGACAAACTCCAAATAATGACATACAGAGTGGCGTGAAGGTGCTTGCTCTAATGGGTGGTAGTACACGTCTGAATACAGGCCTATTCGGGCTCCCTTATATATGAAGTTCCCCGTGCCCCTTGCCTATAGATACTGTATCTTGGCTCTCACGGATGTGGTTTGTGTGGTTATTATTCCAGCCCATGCATTTACGATTGAATGTATTACTAAAATATGATTATTGTTAAAATAATCATTTTACTCTTTTATATTTGAATGTCATCGTGTTCAGTGTTTCTGTAAAATATTATATACGCCTATTTTTGAACCCTTCGTCCTGAGTTATTCAGTGGTTTTGTCTCATTATATTAAACAGAAAGAACCCTAACCACTTCTTTTTTTAATATCTGGTTTATGCCGATCTACAGTATATTATGCTAACTATGCACCCGTGAAATTGGTATTATTGTCACGTAGTAACTTGCTTACTACATCTCCCCCTTTAAAAGTTGATTTTTATCGTCTAAAACGAGAAAAATTAACTCAATTATCCTTCCATTAGTTCAAGCACTTTCCTATGGTTACAAGTTTTATATACATCAATTATTACATTACATTCAATTATTACATGTTTTCATAATATGTTTGTTACAAATATTTAGTTACATTATTGTAATTATATGGTACATTCCACCATATTTTCCTGGTTACATTTATTAAATATTATTGACAAAATACAGATTACAATCCACAATATTACAATATATATTTTGCTTATTATCTAGGTTAGTATCTTATGTGATTAACAATATATATTTC